CACCTGAAGGTTGCATGGAATCCTGTCTGTGTTTCCTGTCTGCTTTCAGGAAAGCCCAGTCAGGATAACCAGGAGAGACGGAACGTTTCATTAGAGAAGAACCCGTCCAGAAGACCTATACAGTTTTTTCTTTTTGATGTTTTGCCTGGATTAGTGAGATGCATCAGGACATCCATAAAAAAATGTTTATTAAATAGTTTATTTCTAAAAACAAGTTTTTCTATATTAAATAGGTTTTTATCCTTTTAACTGGAACTCATCTGTTTAAATAGACACAGTGTTTGTTAAAAGTAATTGTTTATAATAAGTCTAAATACTTTCAGGTACCATGTGAAGGTTTGTGCTTCAATTTAAAACAACTTTTATCAAACTAAAAGTGGTTTATTTGATCATTTGATTCTGTTAAAAGATTTTAATCCTAGATATAGTGAAACATCAAAAGCAAACATAAATTAGCATGATTTTAAAAGTATTTGTTTTGTAATAAGCTTTATTTAAAAGGGGCAGAACAATGAGGCTTCCTAATAATTGAATATCTTGCTGCAAACAATAAACAAACCAAAAAAGCAGTTTAGTTTCTCAATTAACTACTTTAAAAAATAAAACATTTAATTGCAAACATACCAAAAATTTAAGACCATCTTTGATCCACCATCAAAAACAAACATGGCTAGTGGAAAAGACCATTCAAATTCTACTAATCCATCGGAGGGTGGGGGACAGAAGGGTGATGATGTTTTGTCAATTGCCGTACATGTACTCACAGTAGGCAGCATTGACAATTATTTAGCACAAATAGAGGCGGTCAATCCAGGATGTAAATGCATTGCTAATGGCAACTGCATTAGAGACTTCTGGAGAAGAAACAGCCAAGAAGAATGCTGCACGCTTAGCTAAATTAGCATGTCTGCTGAGAGTGAGGCTGAATCATGAGGGTACACTCGTTAAAGACCTTTGCAAACAGCTGGAGGATGAAAAAAAATGCCAAACGAGACACAGACTGAAGAAGTGAAAAAGTTGCATGACAAAAACAAAAAGCTTAAACAGCATGTCGACGCTGAAATACAGGCCAAAGAGACTGCTGGAACGGCCCTCGGTGAAACAGAACAAGATCTGGACCACGCCAAAAATGAATATTCGTCATGTCAATGTCAATGTCAAATTTATTTATATAGCACAATAAAAACAACAAAAGCTGACCAAAGTGCTATACAGTTCAGTCAAGACTTGTATCAAAAGACAAACAAATAATAGATACAAATGCAATGCAGAAACACACTGCAATACAGTATATAAAAAGCTCTAACTGAACCTCCAACTCAGTCTTAATCAAAAGCCAAAGAAAATAAATGGGTCTTCAGCAAATATTTAAAAGCCTCAACAGTCTCTGCTGACTGAATATTAAGAGGTAAACTGTTCCACAGCTTTGGAGCAGCTATTGTAAAGGCTCGGTCACCTCTAGATTTCAGTTTGGATCTAGGAACATCTAACTGGTTGGTAGACCTGAGTGCTCTGACTGGAGTGTAGATGTTAAGAAGATCACATAAATATGACGGGGCCAGGCCATTAAAAACTTTAAAAGCCAACAATAAAATCTTAAAATCAATTCTCAGGTGAACAGGAAGCCAATGGAGAGAAGCCAGGACTGGGGTTGTGTTCATGTGTTCATAGTACCTGTTAAAAGACGAGCTGCTGCGTTCTGGACAGTCATGTAAAGATGAGTTGTGTCAAGCTTATGACGGCCTTGACCAAGAAAAAAGGAGCACAAGAAAACTAAAGAAACGCTTAGACAGGAGCGCAGAGAACATGAAAATTTTGTAAAATTCAATAGGGACTGTGTTGCGGCACTAGCACAGAAACTCTGAATGGGAGAGAGTCACAAGTTGTAAGAAGAGAAAATAGACTAAGACTAAGAAATTCAACACATGATTTAGCTTCCACATCTCGGACACCTACATAAACAGGTGAAAACCAGGGTGCTAGAGGCCCACTCTCAGGTGAGGTCTGAGCTACTAGTACCCCATATCTGGGCAAAAACCCACCTCCATGACTCAGATTCAAAGAAACAAGATCTGAGAAGTTGAGACCCATCTCCAAACCCATCAGTTCGAGGGAGCAGAAGCAGTCCCCTTCACCTGATCGGGGAGGGGCTTTGAGGCCCTCCAGGTGGGCAAGGAGCTGATTGTGATTCATCATGAAGCAGGTATGATACTTCTAAAAATCAAGAAAGGTTTCAAAATCAGTATCCTCACTCTGATTGTGAACTCGATAAAATAGAACATATAAAACATTATTCATTTCGAACCAGGCCCAACAGGCTCATATGAAACCAGAGCCTATCTAAAGGACATTGATTATTATCTGAGAAGCTACCCAAACACTAATACAGAGAATAAGCTTTACCTAATCAGACTTACATTGAGCAGAAAGGTAAGCACTTTTGTTGATCTCCAACCGGAAACCGTCAGAAAAAACTACAATATTCTGTGTGAGGTCTTAGAAAGTGAGTATGCGCCTAAAATAGGACCCCCTGTCTACCCAGCAGCCGAACACATAAAACAAGGTCGAAACGAACATCCTCATGAATATTATTACAAGCTTTTGCAGGCTTACTTCGGTAACAGAAATGAACCATTCATGGAGGAAGATGCAGGTTTTAAATACCTCTTTATCCAAAACCTTCACAAAGACACAAGTGCTCAACTAAAGCCTGAAACATACTTGCTCTGACGCCGACCGGTCGACGTGTGGTTACTTTAACTTTAACTTAACTTTAACTTTAAAAAACTTTATTGTCATGTTGCATGCACAAGGTGTATACAAAACGAAATTTCGTTGCATACGGCTCAGGACAGTGTTTTGAGCTTTCGAAAATACAGTATAAAATATGCATGTACGTGGTTCTTTTACTCGTTTTCACACAGACCTTTCATAGCTCCTGAAACACACCATGCCGAGCTGCTGGGAAACTCCTCCCACTGCAGCATACGTCACTGCATGGAGTTTCTTCCCGCTACAGACGACAATGCAGAAAAAAGTCAGACTCGTCACTCACCTGATGTTATTTATCCACAATCTGTCCTGGTTAAAGCTCCACAGTTATTATCAGCCAGATTCTTCCATGCACAATGCCTGTTTTATCTCCACTCATAAGTTTTTCACGGTTTGACTATCTTTATAAAACTCTGCTTCCCGGTAACAGTCGGCTCTGGGAGCAAGTCGTTTTTTTAAAACCAAGTGGTTGAAGTAAATGCAGCGTCCGAGCGCTTTCAGCACAAAGAAACACGCCATGAGTTTTTCACGGTTTGACTATCTTTGCTTAAACTTTGCTTTCTGGTAACAGTCAACTCTGGAAGCGAGTTGATTTATTTTTCTTTTGAGTGTGCGAGCGCTTTCAGCACAAACTTCAGCATGCCCACAAACTTCAGACCAATCACACATTACCGTTGTTGCGGGAGTGAGGTAAAAATTTCTGTCAGCGGATTGTGCCAAACGGGGAGGCCAAGCCGACGCTGTGAAGCCCGGTGCTGTGAAGCCTGGTGACGTAATTTTCATCATGAAACTGCGACAACCCTTGCCGACATCGGCAGTTTGGAGGGAGTAGGTTTCCAGCTTTAGCCTTCTCGCTAACTGGCGCGTCAATAACATGCAACAACTGAGAGATTGGGCCATCTCTGCTTTTGAAAAGTTAAAACAAACAAAACAACAGAAGCCTACTTAGGAACTTGAAAATCCTCACCATTAGAACTGGA